GAGGAGACCCAGTTCTAACATGTGTACTCCATAGTCAGAAAACATATCCTGTGACTTTTCCCATGGTTGGAGTTCTGAGTACAGTGATGCATTCTTTGGGGGGGGGCAGGTTCCACAAAAAACCTCACCAGAGGTGACCCCAACCTGACTCCTGTGTTTGCTACCCAGAGTACGGTCTGGCTCGGTCCATCACCTACATCGACCTACACACACAGTGGTGGTTGTAGTTACCTGGTCAGTTCTATCCCCAACCCTGTCTTACACCCTGCCCACTACACACTTGGCTCTCTTAAATACCAGCGAGTACTGCAGCCTAGTTGGAGCAAACTCCAATAACCTTCACCTGGGTCGTCCCCAGCCCCAGTTTCTGGATATGCCAGTATATGTAGCAGACTGGTCCAGTCCATCCTGCGTCCCGTTCAGCACTTGCACATATTAATGGGAGTTGGAGCCTTGCTCAGCCCAACTTACCCCACTTTCCAGGACACTCTGGAGGTGGTGAGGACTCAGATTAAAACAGCAGAAATGAAAAAGGGACAGATTCCTAACATGCTGTTAAGGAAGCATTAAGGAAAAGGACTTAGGGGTGAGCATGCAGCATGCCCCCCATGTCAGAGCACCTCGTGTGATACCTGCCTTTAGTTTCTGACTTCAGCTTCCTGCTACTGCATACCCTGGGGGGCAGTGGTGATTGGTACCTGCCTCCCCCCAAGATGAGAGACCTGGGTTGAGCTCCCGGCAATGGGCTTCGGCCACAGCCTAGCCTTGCGTATTGAAGACATTTGGGGAATAGTGGATAAGAACTCTATTTCATTCTTTATCTCTCAAACAAGAAGAAAAGAAATAGGACTTAATGACTGGATAAAGATGGGATCAATGGAAGAGAAAAGGTATGGTTGCTAACTCTGAGATCTCAACCCCTTCCATGAGTCCATGAATAAACAGGATCTTGGCATTTGGTTTGGAACTGGAAGTGGTGGTTGGCCTATTAGACAAAGACCCAGGATGGCTGAGAGGCTCAGGGAGTCATCTAGGAAGGGGTAATAGAATGCAGAGCAATGTAGTGGGACCACATCCACTTAACAGGGCAGCTTCCTAGCAGGAAGTGACCAGCGTGGGAGAAGGAGATCCAACAGAATGTGACAATATTGCAGGAACCAAAGGAAGGGCTTCAGGGAGAGTGGGGGTAGAGCAGGAGGCTCTGTCCCCTGTGTGTGAACCTTGTGCGTGGACCTACAAGGGGCAGTTTCCATAGGGATGAGGAATCCCCATCTACTGGGGGCTGGCAGTAAAGTACAGAGGTATGGTGAGGAAGGAGAGGCAATCAATTAACCAACCTTGCCAGAAATTTCTCATTGGAGGGAAGGGAGAGGATGAAATAGAAGCTTGATTGAGAAAGCAAGATGAACAGAGGGTATTTTTAGAATGAAGGCAATCTGTGTACATGCTGACCCATTTGGGATGGAAGCAGGATTGAGAGAGGACAAATAAAGAGCAACAACTGGGAGAGTTAGAATTTCAAGCAACGGATCCATTTGTCTTTGCAGGGCCAGAGCAAGACAGAGAGGGACTGGGCAGCGTTGATCACAAATGAGAAAAGGACATTGTTTTGGGGGGTAGGTGGGAAATAAGAAGGGGTGATATTTGAAATAGTTAGCAAGCAGTGCAGGGAGGGCACCTAACTACCAGACACTTCCTATGCTCCTGGAGGCGTTCCCTGCCTTGCTCTGTAGTGGCTGGAGCAGGTAGAAGGCTCAGCGGAAAGACGGGGCAGTCAGCAGTCGGAGGAGCTTTTACTGAATAGAACCACGGAAATTCCCTTTTCCCCAAGAAAAGCCATGTGAAACCAAAGGAACATTATGCCATAAAATGATTTATCTTCAGGTTTCTGAAAGTTTTTCTTTATTTTAAAAATCAAATGAATAATGAATGGATTTCATAAACTTAATTGCAGGTTGACAACAGGGCTAAAGAGGGGGACTGATTGAAATCAAAACTCTTCACACTCTCCCCACCCCACTTCCAAGGCCATGAGCATCTCCAGAAAATCTCTGGCCTCCTTCTACAGGGGTCTTCCTGCAAAGTCAGCCCCATGTTGTGCCACTCTCAGACTTGTCTTCTCTGGGAATGGAATAGATGGCCTTCTCAATTATAGTTCTCACCCAGTGTTCAGATCACTTTTGTCAAGTGTGGTTCTATGAGTTTCTTCTCCTTTTTAAAGATTTTATTTCATTTATTTGAGAGTTACACTGAGTGAGGGTGAGACAGAAAGGGCTGTTCCATCTGCTGCTTGATTCTGCAAATGGCCTCAGAGCCAGAACTGGGTAAAACCAGGAGCCTAAAACTCCATCCTGCCATGGCCTTCCCAGATGCACTAGCATGGTGCTGGATTAAAAGTGGAACAGCTAGGACTTGAACTGTTGTTCATATGGGAAGCTGGTGTTGCAGGTGGCTTAACTGGACAGCTCCCATTCTTTAGGTTTCTCAAGTATGAGCCAGGCACCAGTCCATGGCATTTTCCCACACTGCAGAAGACACACACTCTGTATTCCCAAAGAACTTACCAGAAACTTACCAATCAAGAAAAGCTCTATCTTTAAGGAGGGTCTTCTTAACACACCTGGGACTTGTACAGAACACCTTCTGTGATCCACAGCAATCTCAGCTTCTACCCTTTTCTACCTTAACGTCAGTGAGAGGTGAAGGGAATGCTCTATTGCAAATCCTATTTTTGAGTGTTTTACCCTGTTTGAGAGTCTGCGAGTGTCAACTATTATCTGGTACCTCTCAAAATGGGCATAAATAATAGCTTCATTGAATATTCTGTGACTAAAATGTAATCCCATTGTTTTTCCAATTGCCCTGCAAGGTTTTCTTTAAAAGGTGGCTTTCTGGAAGGATCAAATTGCCATTTCAACGGACTTTGTATGGGTCCGTTGTTTATCAGAGACCACTTGAATGACTGATTGTTGGATAAGGGTTGGAGTAACTTTGTCACACAGAGATGTTTATTATAAGGGAATTCATTACAGTTTGACCAGCACAGGGATTTCCAGAGTCCCTGGGAATGTTCCTTACGGGCTAGACCTCTCAAGCTTATTTTTTTTTTTCCAGATGAATAAGGGAAACAATTGGTGGCACAAACAAGAAATTGCTTAAGAAAAAGGAAATGAGATAGGACACAGACTTCTGCGGAATTCTAAATGTTTCATCGTGGTTTCAGCTAGGGAAGAGATTCACCTAACATCTGAGAAGCCACTATCCCCACTCAGCCGGGCAGATGGCTGCACCAGAGTCCGGTCAGCAGAGCAGCGTGAGCAGGAGGGCAGCGTGGTGTCCCCGTCATGGTGCTTCACTGCGGTCCTGTAGCATGACGGTCTCCCTGAGCAGCGGCCTCCATCCCACCCCTCCAGGTCTAGGCCTTAAGCCTTGCTTCTAGCAAGCTCTGTCTCCAAGCCTCACAGCCCGAAGCTACTGGAAACAATCAACAGATCTTTTCAAGGTACAGGATGAATCTTTATACCCATTTGTTCAAGATAGCCAGTTCTGGAGCAGTATTTTTAATCTTAGACCCATATATCATTTGAAATATATAAAGGGAAAGTGGACATACAAAGAAGTTTCTGCCTAGTCCACCCTCTGTTCCCTTGAAGCTTTGCTAGAACTCATTCAACTTTCAAGGGACTCGGCCATCCACCACCAGAGCACCAGCGGCCCCTTTGCAGTTTGACTTTAGCATGCTTTCACTTGTCAATATCACCCCTGGGATCACAATTCATTTCCCCCTTTGGGTTTATGTCATCGAACATTTTGGAGATGCGAGTGGCCATGATTTAGTGGCACTGTCAAATGGCACAGCACGCAGCCTGCCAGCCCTGCTCTAAGAACCAAGAAACATTTTCAACCTAATTAAACACAGTACAGGGCATTTTCCCATCCCTCCACAAGCAAAGGGAAGTAATGGCAGTTTACGAATTGGGGAATCTTATTCCCAAGACATGAGCCAGAATCATCAGGGTTCTTGGTCAAACCCCCACACCCAGACCCCCCCAGTGAGGCGGACCTAGGCCCTTGTGTCTTTTTGAAACCCCAAATGACAGAGTCTCATGTTGTCCAGTTGAGAGGGACTGCTCACTCTTTGAATGGCTCTAGAAGTTTTAAAAGAACCACCATATGCTTTCATGGGCTTCTGGACTAGGATGAAGTCTTTGCTTTCACCCCTTTCATTGGATGGTTTACAGACGGATGCCATTCTTGAAGGTCCGGAAAAGGAGAGAAGACTGAATCTGGGGGCTTCAAGAAGCGAGCAGACTAGAAGCACAAAGGGTGAGCATGTGCGCAAGACACACAGATCCCAAGATCGGGGAAAGGGGAGTTCTGAAGGCCAACGTTGAATTGGACAATAGGAACGGGTTGAACGAAGATCTTAGTTTAAAGGAGACAGATGTGGTAGCAAAAAACCCCCACCCCCCAAAAAACACTCCTCCCCCGCCCCCAAAGAGATGGTTATTAAACCCGGTGAGGCAGGTCAGCTACAGAGAACCTACTATAGGGGGTCCAAGTTAACGGCGGGCGTATGACCAACATGGCTCTGACCCGACTCCACCGAGGTGATGGTACCTGAGGTCGGGGTCTGAGGTGCCCGCGGGGTGTGTGTGTGTGTGTGTGCGCGCGCGCGCGTTTCTTTTGGGGAGGGTATGCTAATGAATGTATTATGACAGCCTCGGGAGCGGAGCGACGCTGAGAGGAAAAGAGCCAGCGGACACTGTGCACCGCCGGCTTCCCAAGTTGGCCTTGTGTTTGCAGAAAGGCGAAGAGCCGCGAGCCCTGCCTGCAGCCGGCGGCATGGAAATGCGCGTCGCTGGCCCGGCGCGGGAGCCCTAGGTGCGCGGCCGGAGGCGAGCCCGCCGGAAGGTTACCACAGGTCAGGCATAAATAAGCGACGGACGGCGGAGCCCACGCTGCGCGCTTCCTTTTGTTGGCTCAAGAGCGCCGAGCCGACGCGGTCCGCGAAAAGGCTCGGCGACCAAGCGGCTCGACCGTCTGTCCACACCCGGCTCCAGTCCCGGGTGACTATGCGGGGGCCCCGGGTCGGATGGGGTGAGGTGGCGTAAGTCGGGGGACCCCCGAGCGGGGGAGTGTGGTGTGTGTGTGTGTGTGTGTGTGTGTGTGTGTGTGTGTGTGTGTGTGTGTGTGTGTGTGTGTGTGTGTGTGTGTGTGTGTGTGTGTGTGTGTGTGTGTGTGTGTGTGTGTGTGTGTGTGCGCGCGCTCGTGCGTGTGTGTGTGTGTGTTGGGGGAGGGAGGCGGACGCAGCTTTCCCTGCGAGGCCTCGCAGCAGGGACCCCAGAATAAGTCGGAGGCGGCAGGGCCGGGCGGGCGCGCAGATCCCACCCCTTCCTGAAGGAAGCGCCCTCCCCGCCGCGACTGCCTGCCTCCGCCAGCACCGCCGCCGCAGGTCACGGCCCCGCGAGGCGACCCCGGCCCCGCCGCCTGGGAGCAGGTAGGCGCGGCGCCCGTGGTGCCTTCTCCTCCGCCCGGGTCCGTGCGCCAGCCAGCCGGGGGACGTCCGGGCCGGCTCCGCGCCCACCCTTGGCGGAGTCCCCGGCAAAGCGGCGGGCGTTGCAGCGGAGGAGCTCGGGCGGGTGGCGGGTGCGCCCTGCTAGCGGGGCTCCCTGCGTTCGGCTCCTAGCCCAGAGCGTCCCAGGCTCCAGTCCTCGGCCGGCGGGTTGCCCCGGAGCCGGGGTCAGTGCTGCCTGTTGTCCGCGCGCCCGGAACCCCGCAGCCGCAGTGCCTCCCACCGGCCACGGCTACGGCCACGGTCCCGGCCCCCGCCCCTGGACAGGTGTCCTCTCACGCGCCACCCTATCCTTTTGTTATTGGGTGGACTCGGGCGAGCAGCGGCGCCAAAAGTGGAATCTGCAGGGTTCTGGGCGTCTCTCCGAGCACTTTGCCGTTAGCCGAGTCGAGCAGGCAAACGGGGAGTAAGGGACTCCGGGGAAGGCGGCTCCAAGTTGCCGTGCACCTTTCGGCTTTGCTTCCCTGAGGGCAGCTTGGGAAGAGTGGGATTTTCGGGTTCTCAGGAGAAGCGACGGTGGGTGGGCTCGCCGAGGTTCTGTGGTCATCCATTGCAACCATTTTTCCAAAAGTGCTTCGCTTTGGGTTTTGTAGAGAGAGCCCTTGTTGAGTGGTTTTCCCCTGGTTAAATGAATCGGTTGGCGAAGGAGCGGGTTTTCCCATTTTCAATGCATCTTTCTTTTCTGGCTTGCCCTCCATCTAATCCTGTCTACCGCCCTTTTTTAGAGCTCAGAGATTCCTCACACCTTCTTGGTCGGGTTTATTCGTGCTAGACCGCTTTTCCTGGTCAACCTGGGACTCTAACAGCTGGCGGGTATAGCCCAGGTGGCATGGCAGCCCAGTCCTTCCCAGTTCGAACCTGTCCTGCATGTTGGGGGAACCAAATGCAATAGTGATGGATTAAAAAGCTAAACAAAAGACAGCAGTTTTTGGCAAAGGTTTCTGCTTCATTTTTCCCCTTGTCTCAAAGATCGTAGTAGTTGCGGGGCTGTGACTACTCTGTGCCGCAGTTATCAAAGAATAGAAAAATGGATGCACAAACTCCATGGTAGCAGCTAATAAGTTGACCTACTTAAAGTTTTCTATTTGGGGAAGAATTGTTTAGGTGCATTTGTGTGTGTGTAATATTTGCAGATCAAATCATTTTGGTCTCAGCACATGTGCATTAAATCCCAGACTTTCTTGTAGGTGGCATAGAGCTACCGCTTCTGAAATTAAGGGTGCTCTCATGTCTTAATGAACTGTGAGTTTAAGCTTGAAAGCCTGAGCATAGGAATTTCAACCATGTGTCCTTTATACATTTTTTTTTTTTTTACAATAAGTGTTTTGCAATTGTTTCAGCTTGGAAGCTTACAAACAAAGTAGTAAAAGAGTAATTTTGCTAACAATAACGACTGGTTGATAGATATTGTTACATTGAGCAAACATATTAATCATTTCATATTAACATTTGAAAATGCATGTTTATTATCTACCATTAGCTAAACACAATCTGTTTGGATGATTTAAATTGGCATCAAAATGTGTTTATAGCTAAGGCTTAATTCATGTTTTTCTCATCAGATGTCGTTTACAAGTTACTTTGTGGGAGAGATGGCTTGGTTTACGGGAAAAATTTTTTTTTGTATGAAAATGTGCAATGGCCCTGAAAGTGTGCATTCACTTTCCCTGCTTTGTGACTGCGGAGAGGATAAGTCCTTTGCTTAACATCCCGGTCTGTGTCCCACTCGGATCCTGGCACCTCTGCAACTGCAGGTCGGTGGTCCCAGGAGCAGCCTGGAGGTCACAGGCAGAAAGGCCCCCGGAGAGACCTTCTTGGCCTGGTGCTTTAAGCCATTTGGTTTCACTGTAATCTAGCCTTTTGAGATCAGCCCAGTAACCAGTTAAGCAAGACAAACACTGACAAGATAATGTATTGCCTGGTGACCTTCCCTTTCTCCAGAACAATCTGCAACACAGAGAATCAACATGGCTGGGGTGATTGTGTCCTTGTGAGGCTCCAAGCTATGTGCCAAGGTTCCCAAAACAGCATACCAAGTCCAGGTGTCTGGAACCTGCATGTCAATTCTTCAGAGTTTATCAGATGCGTCCTAAATATTTTTCCTTACCCAAAGGATAACAAAAGCGTCCCTACTTCCTTTAACTAGAATTTTTTGTTCCTGGAATTGATGGTGTCATATGACTTTAGAAATTTTCCTAGGTTGCGCTAAGCACTTTCAAGTAGCTTGTAACTTATTGGAACTTGAACAAGTTATTGTTATCACCAAATATCATTTCTTGGTGTTTACATTTTGAAAGTATGGAAAATCTCCATGCAAAAAGATTTTAAACAGGCCACTTGAAACAGTGCTTTGAGAGAACAGCAGACAGATGGACAGTAACCGTCAAGCTCCGGACTAGGCTGGGTCTCTGCCCCTACTGAGCCATGAGTGAGCAGTGTCTGGGTATGGACAAACCTTGGCAGGGATGGAACAGACAACACCAAGAACAGGAATGGATGGAAGGCCAGCAATGAGGGCTGGCCCATGGAACCACCAGTACGCGCAAGACCTGGCATAGGGAGAGGTTCTGAAGGAGGAGCTTGGGAAACTCCTCTGTCGGAACACAGTCCCTACAGGTGAGCGCAAGCAGCCCAGACCAGGCCAGAGGAAGATGCCCACCATCATACATATGGCATAGATGGGGGGCAGACCAGGCTGAACCTGTTCACATCAACCGCGGGCGAATCCAAGCACTAGCATGGTGTGGGTCAGACCAGTTTTGGTCGCAACACATAGCGGTGCACATTAAGGAATGGCAAGGTGAGGTGAGTCATACCAGATGTGGTTGCAGTGCCCAGACAGCACACGTGTGAACCGGGGGAGGGGGAAGGAGGCCAAGCCGGCAGGGGAATGTGGGCTCCCCTGATGGACAACCACTCACATTGGAGATGATGAGTTGGGATGGGGGCAGACCAGACCAGGCAGGGCTGCAACACCTGTGGGTCCCATGTATGCTAGATTGGGAAAGGGCCATATTGGGCTGACTGTTCTCACTGGTGCAAGCATAAATTAGAGCGGGTGAGGGATTGGTTGGACTTTGCCGCAGATTCAGATTGAAGAGCCTGGCACTGGGGACCAATTCTGTTAAGTTAAATGCCAGAACTACCTGGAGAGTGCATAATCTGGAAGTTGGAGAGGCCTGGTAGGGAGACTGTGGGCACCTCCCTCGTGGGTAACCACTCCCACTGGAGAGCACGAAAACCAGGACTAGGGCAGGGGTGGCTAGACAGAAAGGCACTGTGTGTGGGCTGGATAGTAGGTTGGTTGGGTTGAACCAGGCTTCAATGCCCATTGACAAGTACAAGAACTAAATGGGATGTGGGACAGACTGAACAACCCTGCGGTACATACTGGCATGCATGGGAGCCAGGGTAAGGGCAGGCCTGGTGGGGGTTATGGGGAGTTGCCCCAACTAGGCTGCAGCTCCCACTGGTTTGCATGAGGACTGAGTATGAAGTGGGTAGGATCGAGCTGGACTACAACACCCATTGGTTCAAGTGGAAGACAGGACTGGAAACACAACTGACCCAGCAATTGCAGTGACCACCATGTGCATAAGCTAATTGGGGCAATGGACTGTGCCAGACCCTGTACTGGCAAACTCACACAAAAATCAGGTTTGGGATCATATCAGGTGAAGTTTCTTTGGAGATCCCTCCAACTGAACTGCTGATCTCAGAACCCCAACCATGAGGAGACCATATCAGCCAGTTGATTCTGAATAGGTTTCATCGCGATTGGAATGGTGAGATTGGCAGCAATTCAGAAATGTTGAACTATCAAAACTGCTTGAGTAGGACCCTTGGAGCGTGCCTCACATCGGGGACTGGGGATGGGTGGGAGGCTGGGTGGGGCTTTTCCTTTTTTTTCTCCCCTGACCCCAGATACAGGGGGAAAAAATGATATTAGTGTGGAAACAATGGCATTACCCACTTTCCTATAGCTCTTGACTCTTTGTACCCTAATCAACTAAGCAAGATTATTTAAAAAAATAAATAAAAATTGCAAACTGAAAAAAAAAAGTAACCGTCAAGCTCAACTCGTGATTCCAAATCAAGACATCTCTGGGAGCTCTTTGGCTAAGTAAGAAATGAACAATTTCCTCTCTAGCTTCTGTAAGTGTTGTCATACCTAGAAAACTGTGGTGGTGGAAGTGATCTGTCATCCAGTATGATAGCCACAGGCTACACAGGCCGCTGAGCACTGAGCACTTGAAATGTGGCTGATGCATTGAGGAAGTGGATTTTAAATTTTATTTGCTTTAACTAGTAGAAATAGCTGCCTCTATGGTAGCTGGTGGCTACCATATTGGACACCACTGATCTAGATTTTTCTCTGCCCACTCTAGGGAGAGCACTTGCCAGTGAGCTTTTAATTAAAAGAAAGGGGGAATTGGCTTTAATAATATAGGGATTAAGTTTTGAGTCAGTAATCCTGTTGTTGGGAAAAAGCAC